AACAAGGATTTTTCACTTGTTTTGCTCTTCATTTATGGGTTATAACTTTATTTTACATTAAGATTGTTTTAAAATTATCGTGTACTCAGTTTCACAGAAGATGATTGGCTTATAGGTCATAAGGAAAATCAGTGCCAGAATGGAAAACTGAATTCTTGAGTCTTAGTGTTCAACATTTCCACTGCTGTCAGAAACAAGTGCTGAGTTTTCTTTGTTCTTCCAATGGCAAAATAAGGAATGTATGATAGGCTTGAAAATTGGCAATCATAAAGTGCTTTTTATGATTTCCCAAATTCCCTTCATAGTATTATTTCTTTTATTATGAATTTAGTTGTGTAAATCAGCCTGTTGCTGATAAACAAAAATTTATATTAGTCCTGGGACCAACATTTCTTTCAGTATGACATTAGTTGTGTAAATCAGCCTGTTGCCAATAAACACAAATTTATATTAATTCTAGGATCAACATTTTGAGAAGAAATAAAGTAGGGATCATCTGAGAGTTTTTAAAAGAATGTTGGTCTAAAATAGCTGGTAGAATAAAAATATATTGTACAAACTAAAATAGGGCAAAAGAGCTAAAATGCAGTGCATGGACTAAAATAACTAGCAGTTCAAATGAGTCCAAGTGCTAAATATGCAATTATCTTTCCTATTACCGTATATGTACAAGAGTTATTTTAACTTTTAAAATCCTACATTTCACTTTTGTTGTTGTTTATATATGTATGTATATGTAAAAAAACCAGTCATATATATATACACACACACCTCTGAGTTTAAAAGTTTTAAAATTCCATTTTAATTTACAGGTTACAGGTTGACATTTTTAGGTAGTGTAATGGCTATTTATTTACTGGTAGGTGGTTTGCTTTATAAACTGAAAATTAAGAAAAAACTTGAGTTTGGTTTATCATCATCCCTCCAACTCCCTTCCCCAAACTCTTTGAATCCCATGGTACTTTTTAAAAGCTTGCCTCAACATCCCCAGGAATGACTTCACAGTTGTTCCACATAGATGTAGTAGCCATTTTCTCATGCACTGATTTTATGAATGGTTGTTGCACGTCCTCCAGGGGTTTAGAAATTGCTCATACCATGGAAGAGAGAGTTTCTGGGTGACTTTGATCCGTGTTAGTGCTTATTTGCTCCTGTAACCCTGACCTTCTTGCCATCCCCTGAGCACAGAGACACACTCCTGCATCAACCCTTTTTATACTTGGTCTCTTTGCCTGGGGTGTTTTTCCTTCAGTTCCACATGGTTTGTTTCTTCCCCTCTTTCCATCTTTGCTCAGTTGTTACCTTGTCAAATTATTCTGTAAAGGAGCTAAATCCTGACCATTTGATAGTTTTGAGCAAATGAGGATTAGAATCCAAGTGATGTGTTGAAAGAATCACTCTGCCTGTTGTCATGAGAATAAACTGCAGGCGAACAAGGGCTGACACAGTTAGGGGCAATTGCAGTTGTCCAGGCTTAGAGATAAAGGTGGTTCAGATCAGGTGGTTATAGAGGTGGTGAAAAGTGGTTGGACTCAGGATATATTTTGAAGGGAGAGTCCAAAAGTCAATATTTTGAAGGGAGACTCATATATTTTGAAGGGAGAGTTAACAAGATTTGCCACCACTTTGAATGTGAGGTGAGAGGGAAAGATAGGAGTCAAAAATGATTCTAGGTTTTTGGCCTGAGTAACTGAAAGGATGGAATTGCCATTTACTGAAATGAGGAATAAATACCAAGAGAAGAGCACACAATCAGGAATTGAGTTTTGTTGACAGGAGTTGGATAAGTGAAATTTGAATTAAAAAAAGGGTCTGGGATGGAGATACACAAGTTGGGAATGATCAGCATATACTTTATTTAAAGTCATGAGCCTGGATGAGATCATCTGGGCATGTAAATAAAGAAAGGCGGTCTTAGAGTTAAGCCCAGGCATACCCCAATCTCCAATATTCAAGGGTTGAGGAGACCAGAGGGAGGGCCAGTGAAGTAGAGAAACTGGGATTCTGGAAACCAAGTAAAGAATGTTCCAGGAAAGGAGTGATTAGCTGTGTCAAAATGCTGCTGATAGAACACTAAGATGAAGACTGAGAAATGATCATTGAATTTGGCAATGGAGAGGTCATTGGTGACCCTGAGGAACTGTTTTGGTGGAGTGGTGGTGGGGAAAGGCTGACTGATGAGGACTTAAGAGAAAATAATAAAAGAGGAAATGTAGACCTCAAATATAGGTTAATTTTTTACAGGGGATTATTTTTTAAAGTAAAACAGAGAAATGAAATGGGAGCTGAAGAGGGATATGAAGTGAATGGAGACATTTAAAAAATGATGTTTACATGCTGATGAAAGTGATTGAGTAAAGAAGGGAAAAGTAATTATATAGGAGAAAGAGAATGTGGACAGTTGTTGGGAGCATGATTTTTTTTTTTTTTTCTTTTTTTAGACAGAGTCTTGCTCTGTCTCTCAGGCTGGAGTGCAGTGGTGCGATCTCAGCTCACTGCAACCTCCGCCTCCCCTGGGTTCAAGTGATTCTCCTGCCTTAGCCTCCCCGGTAGCTGGGATTGCAGGCACATGCCACTGTGCCTGGCTAATTTTTATATTTTTAGTAGGGACGGGGTTTACCATATTGGTCAGGCTGGTCTCGAACTCCTGACCTTGTGATCCACCTGCCTTGGCCTCGCAAAGTGCTGGTATTACAGGCGTGAGCCACTGCGCCCGGCCTGGAGCATGTATTCTTTCATGAGTGGTCCTTCTTCTGTAGCACTGTACACAGCGCTAAGGGAAGACTTTTCTGTCTTTCCTTCTACACCCCCAAACTCTCATTGGGCTAGGCGTCCGTCTTAGAAGCTCCCATTTAACTCTATGCTGTTATTGTTGCCTCTACACTTACCCCTTTCGAAGTATGACCCCTTGTACTTAAAAACAGACATTTTTAGGTTTAGCTGTGTCTTGTTCCAAAGAACCACACTTACCAGAGTATGTTAGTTTTAGAGTCATCTAGGAGCTTAACATAATACCAAAACCACACCTTTTGGTAATCTTGGACTATAACAGAAGGCAAGAATTATAATAGGATCTCACAAACCTTCTCCCACCCACCATGATGAGCTATTTGTAGATCCTTAGTGGCTCTTAAGTATTCTCTCAAGTGTTGAGTTGTGAGTAGCCTGCACATAATGGCATTCAATACTGAGAATAGCTACTCAGCTCTGAGCATCCATCCTGTTTCTCGCCATTGGCATTCCTGGTGGCACAGTGGCTTCTGTCACTCTCTCTGGCTTGCCTCAGCTTTGATTCTGTCCATTCAACTCTCATTCCTACCTTGTCTGTCACAGGGTTAGGCTTATGGTAATGAAGAAATGCTCTGTCCTTAGCCAGAGGTTGGTGTAAGTTAAAAGATGTTGTGAGCGGTAAAACAAACAACATTTAGGCAGATATTAGTTATTATTATTCTCTTCAGAGCTCAAGGTTTATATTTCTGTCAGTATTTTCTAGGTTTTAGATCAGAGTTTTAAAATTAGGGCCATAACCTTTTTTGTTTTTTGAGATGGAGTTTCGCTCTTGTTGCCCAGGCTGGAGTGCAGTGGTGCAATATCGGCTCACTGCAAACTCTGCCTCCCAGGTTCAAGTGATTCTCCTGCCTCAGCCTCTCAAGTAGCTGGGACTACAGGCACGTGCCACCACACCTGACTAATTATTGTATTCTTTAGTGAAGATGGGGTTTTACCGTGTTGGCCAGGCTGGTCTCAATGTCCTGACCTCAGGTGATCTGCCTGCCTTGGCCTCCCAAAGTGCTGGGATTACAGGCATGAGCCACCATGCCCAGGCAAGGGCCAGAACCTTGAAGCCACTTGCTAGGGTGTTTGTAGAAATTGTCTAAAGTGCTATGTATGCGTGTGTGCCTAGGTGCATTCATCCACCCACTCATAAAAATATTTGTAAACGCTTGCCACGTTTTAAGATGTGTTTGCGGGAGTTTGTGCTGCTCATTTTTTAAAGAGTGGGAACTCTTTGGTAGTTACAATATGAAAAGGATGGACATCCACTCTGAGTAGTTCTGGATCATTTGTGGAGTTCTTTTTTCAAATATGTCTAAGTAAAACACACCATGTCAAAATGCCAGGCTGAGCTGCACACTGGCGGTGAGACAGGATGGAAGACTGAGGATTCCACCAGGTCAGGACACATCTTGGTTGCCTTTGCAGAGGTTCTCTAGCACCGCTGGATCTCTGCATGACCTAGTTGGAAAAGTCCTCCTCTAGACTATGACAAAGTGATTCCCTAGGCTTTCCTATCATAAAAATTGAGAGGCAAACGTTTTTCTTTTAAATGAGTTTTCTGTTTTAGCAAATAAAAGTCATTATTTATAGCTTAGTTAAATGTTTTAAATCGCCAAACCTCTGTACCTCTTTTCTATAGAGATCAGTTCATGGAGGGAGTTAGGAAAAAACATCAGTTAATGATAATGATATAGTGGACTCTCAGGAGATGGGAAACTTATTTTGAATACCCACTGCTAGGTAGAAGTTTGACCTTTGCAGGTACTTCCAGACATACTACAAAAAGGGTGGTAGTGTATGCCATCAGCTTTGTGGTTTATAAATATTAGTGATATGCTCTGAATGCTTTAATAAAAAGACAAATGAATCAAAGGGGTAGGTCTGTCTTTATTGTTTGGGATTAAAAAAATAATAATCATACATTTGTATATTCTTTTCATACTTTTAAGAAACAAAAAGGCAATACTGCTACATTATAATTTTATTGTACATTTAAAATGCAGATTTAAAAAATTCAAATTGTGCTTTTTAGTAACTAATAATTTAAGAACTCTTTTTGATCCTCCCCTACTTTTCCAACCTTCTTTTCTTGCCTAATGTTAGGAAAACCAAATTGAAGATGCCTGCATTTTGAACAGGTTGAACTTGTGGCCTTGGCTATAATTGTCACTTCATAATCTATTTTTGATTTTAATCTTATTATTATAACTTTCTTTTTACAGACTGGTGAATTTTCAGCTCGTTTCCTTTTGAAGTTGCCAGTGGATTTCAGCAATATCCCCACATACCTTCTCAAGGTAAAAATATATGATTATCAGTATGAGAATATAAGTGAGCTTTTTAAGTAATTATTTAACTCAATATTTGTATGACTGGTTTGTCAGCATTTTGTTCAGATGATGAATTCTACTAAAAATGTTTCTTACATGAAGTTCCATTGAGCTGTTTTGTTACCTAAAAGCTAAAATAGTAACTGTAAAAGTCATTTAGAAGTGAGTTTTCCATATAAAATAAAATTATTATAGGTGAATTAAATTTTGGGAAAAATCACTTTTATTTAATACGTTGTTGGAATGAAAGACTCTCATATCAATTATCTAATATGCAATATTAGTCACCACTCCATTCTACAAACACCATGGCAAGTGCCTTCAAGGTTCTGGCCCTTGGTTGGGTGAGGTAGCTCACACCTGTAATCCCAGCTTTTTGGGAGGCTGAGGTGGGCAGATCACCAGAGGTCAGGAGTTTGAGACCAGCCTGGCCAACGTGGTGAAACCCCGTCTCCACTAAAAAAATACAAAAATTAGCCGGACATGGTGACAGGCGCCTGTAATCCCAGCTACTCAGGAGGCTGAGGCAGGAGAATTGCTTGAACCTGGGCGGCAGAGGTTACAGTGAGCCAAGATGGAACCACTGCACTCCAGCCTGGGTGATAGAGTGAGACTCCATCTCAAAAAACAAAAAACAAACAAACAAAAAAGATTTGGCTGGCCTCCCTCTGCACCGTATTTGAACCTGTGGTTCTTTAATTGCAATCTAGTGTAAGAAAAATTTCTACCTTCCTAATTTGATGTTGTTCAGAGAGTTAATGGTATTCATAACTGCCTAAAGAAAAGACAGAATCTTTGTACAAGTTTGCTTGCATGTTGTGCTAATCAATAAATAATAGTAGATGTTAATTCTGATAATGGTTATAAGTATGATTTAGTAGAATATAAACTATAAACCATAGAAAAGGTTAGGGAATTTTTTTTTAATACATTCCATCTTTGTGTTTTTTGGAGACATGGTCTTGCTCCGTCACCCAAGCTGGAGTGCAGTGGTGTGACCATAGCTCCCCCCAAGCTCAAGTGATCCTCCCACCTCAGCCTTCTGAGTAACTGGGACTGCAGGCATGCGCCACTGTGCCAAGCTAATTTTTTATTTTTTGTAGAGAAGGGGTCTCAGTGGTCCCCCCACCTCAGCCTCCCAAAATGTTGGGATTACAGGTGTGAGCCACTGTTCCTGGTCTATACAGTCCATCTAAAGAATAAAATTATTTTCTTTTTCTCTAAGTAAAACGTAAGAGTTTTGTAGTTCATTAAACTTTCAATTTTAGTTTCCAGTTGACTAGTTCTGCATTCTGTTCCCAAGGATTGTAAAGTCCAAGAAAGAATGGAAATCATCAATTTTTATCAGTTTCTCTACAGTCCGGTTGTGGAAAATACATATATATTAGATTTGTGATAACCAAACATAATTAATTTGATTTTGGCAATTACTGTGCTCTGTTAGACTAGTAAGCAGTCTTCTAAGAAACCCTTGTAGTGTATACTCAGGACCTCCTCCATGTATTCCAGTTAAAACTCTCTTTCAGCTCATTTAGAGCCAAGTTCAACAGCACATGAAAGTACATGATTTATATAATCACCTTAATCCACAATTTACAGTTCCAGTGCTTTTGTTTTAATTTATTGTGCCTTATCAGTTTCAGCAGTCTTCCTGTTTATTTGAAATTGATGTTGCCTCAGCTCATATTCTTGAAGGGTCGAAAAAAAAAATGTTTATTGGCTCATAATCTCATATTTATCTCTTCAGCATCAAATTATCGTATTTTTGTTTTAAGAATTCTGACTTTATATGCTGTTCTTATTTTCCTTGCCAGTCAGTTAAGAGAAAGATGGAATCTATTTGCCAAAGCTGTAATATTGTTTAACCCCTGCATTACTGTGAAATAATGTCTCTTCTGTAGATAAAATATCTACATTGCAATACTAATGTCTTTCTGGATCTTTAGAGTTCATGCAAAAAGAGTAAAGCAACAACGACCAGAAAGGAGAAACTCTTGTATAACACAAAGCAACAACTGAAAAATCAAAAACAGAAAGCTACCAGCACACTAGAAACAATCCAGAATACTTGTTGAGGGTTTTAAGATGTATTTTCCTAAAGTTGTTGTAACATTTGGCTACGCTCTTCAAAGGAAGTTTGCCTTAGGAGCTGCTTTACATATTATTTGCATTTGGATGCTCCTCATCTAATTACTAGGCCTATAATTGATAGTTTAACTACAAAAGTAAACTTTCTGAATTCCTAGGGTTAGGATACTCTTCACCAGCATCAATATAGTTTTACCTTATCATTTCAAGCAAATAAAAATGAAGGTAGAACTTGAAAATATTGAGATAGCTTGGAGTTTGGCTGCATACCCTGTTGATTTGCTACAGTGAAATTTCATTACACTATGATGAGGCCATCATCCACTCATAAGTTCATATTACCAGGTGTGCCTATTTTACCCACTAATAGAATTATTTTATGTTAAAATGAAAAATCCATTCAAGTGATATGATTTCCCTTAATATTGTATTGTAAATATATGTGGTTCTTACAGGTGATAGAGTAGGGAAAAGAGCATCTGAATGTCCTTGTGTGCTTAGATCATCTGATTCAATATTCAGTGATATGATTTCCCTTAATATTGTATTGTAAATATATATAGTTCTTACAGGGGATAGAGTGAATTTATTCTGAAGATGAAGCCTGATTTCAGAGTCTGAAATAACTTTTGGTTGAGGTAAATCAAAGGGTCAGATGAATCACTAACATAAACACGAAAAATATTTCTGTATTTGTTAGGATTCTTATTTTGCAGCTGGTAGAAATCCAGCGTGAGCTCATGTAGATCAGATGAGAAATTTCATACAAATCCTCTTCTTCTGTGGTCTGTATAGCAGGAAACAGTCCATACTTAGTACTCTACAGATCAGGCATAGACCAACTGTCTTATATCTGTTCCACTGGGCTCAGTTGTATACCCCTGAACTTCTCAACTGCTGTGTTTATGGGGAGAAATCGTGGTCCTAGCATAAAAAGGAGATTACAGAAATGATCAAAGTGCAAGTATTCTCTACAGTTACTGAATCAAAGAAAGATGATTTTATAATTATATACTTTCTTTTAACAAACAGCTAGTCATTAGATGCTGCTGCTCTTAATTTTCTTAGAGTGTGGTGAAAAGTGCTGTATGTGTATTCCTGTCTTTATTTTTGTCCTGAGAATTAGTGAACTTAACAATATGATGCTAAGAAGGCTGTGTTTTTGTTTTTGCTTCTGTTTTCTGTAAAACCATACTCCATAGAGAAGTAGCTAAAGAAAAGGTTTGAATTGTCTACTAACATTTTTATTCTCTGAACAAGAAGCTCAGAAACTAAGAATACAGTATTTTAGGGGAGAGGAGAGGCTTACTTGTAAATATGATGTGTGTTTGAATTGGTCACTTAAAATAATGAGCCAGTTTTATACAGAAGACAGTGAAGTTAAAATCCTAGAGCTAGGAACCCCTTCAGTACCATCATACAAAAATATGGAGGCAAATTATTGGATCCCACTGAACTGGAGGGTTAAATAGCAACTATTTCCAGCTGATAGTGGATGGGGCAAATATAACCGTGCAAAGAAAATCAACATTAACTTTTTTTTTGTTGGGTGAGAAATGACCGTACTGTTTATGTAGGCTAAATTGTTGTTGGAGTATCTCTAAACTAGAAATCATTGAGCCCTAGCCCAGGTTAGAAGTAGGGCTGTAACCAATTTACTATGACTGAAGTACTTGGACTTTTATTGGCATTATTTAACATCACACACTGAGCCCATTCATCCTGATGGATTGCACGTAGCAATTTAGTTCCACTGTGGAATCCGAATCTTGACACTACAGGGAAATTAATTGAATGTGAAAAAGCTAAAATAGGTTATTTATACAAGAGATGAAGCTCTCATCCTTCTTCTGAAGTCACTGTGGCTGTAGTGATCAGTCAGGGCACAGTCAGTGCAGAGCCCAGGTCACTCTGCCAAGCAGAGGCAGAAAGCAGGAATTCAGTTCAGGGTGTCTAGATTTGTTCAGGAGCCTAGGATAGGCAGAGAGTTGTGAATATCTAACTATACAATGGTCTAAGCAGATCACTAACATGGAAGAGAGCCTCTGAATGTCCTTGTGTGCTGAGGTTATCTGATGTAGGAGCAGCCTCCTCAGCCTGATGCTGGCTAGCAGGTTACCTACTTAGAGTCAGTCTGCTTTCTAATCAAACCTAGTAGCAAACGGAGCCAGGCGAGTACTGAAAAGGGAGTGAATCTGACTGGATACAATACAAAAGGAAATGGTAGGGACTGGAGTGAACTAGCATGTACCTGCTTCATCTAAAGGCAGCAGCTGCTATACGGCTACAGAGTTGTTTTCCATTTGATAATCTGGGGCCTGGTGTTGCCAGATATCCAGATGTTATTAAAAGGAGCCCAGAATCTCAGGGCTTGTTGTTGTTGTTGTTGTTAATATGAAAAACGACTATCTTTTAAGTAAAAGCAATGATAAATATTGTTTACAAACACTGTGCAAGAACACTTGTATGTCTTGGCCATGGCCTGTGGGTGAATTTGTGACTCTTGCTCTAAAATCTAACCGTCTCGTACCGGTGGGTGGCAGAAGGCTTTTCTTTACTTTCCTGGATTTATACTATGCCGTGTGGTATTCAGGGAGATCTTACTATGATCCAGTGGATAACAGAAGGAGAACCTTGAACTGGAGTTCCACTCAGTATTCTGAGTAGCTTATCACAGCTGCAGCAGAGTACCTGGAATGAATCTGGCTTGGTTTTTGAGTGCAGTACTGTGCAGAACACCTAAGTACTGATCTTGCCATAAAATGATACTGGGATTAGACAAATGACAGAAAGGAAAGTCAAGCATAATCATTGTCCTCAGAGACCTTATAATATAATTGATAAGTTAACATTTACTAATAAATAGTGAAGTGTTAACT